ATGAATCGTCTCGAAGATCAGACGGTCTCACGAGCATATAAGACTACCGATCCGAAATCGGCACAAATGCCCTTAGGTTCCGTGGCCCGAAGCTATTATATCGTCTGGCATTTTCTCACGAGATACTCCGCTCTAATTATATGTCTAGGTCGCTCCTGTAACCTACAGTTTCATTGCTAAATACGAGCGTTCCGTTGGGGTCCAGGAAAAGAGCCTAATCTTTGTGTCTTGGCCGATAATTAGGTCTTCAGACTGCTGTTTCCTGTCGTGTTTTTAGAGGAGTCTCGTGCGTACACGGGTTTTAGTTACATCCAGAAGAGAACGCATCTTCGAGATCTTCAATTTTGACCAGCCAACGCAGCAGGTATGCTGTTAGGTGGTTTGGTATTTTTAGTAATAAAACGCGGTCTATTCCCGACATCGATTAATTTATTTCTTTGCACCGAATGCTTTTATTGCACAGACTCTAAACCTTCGTACATTATAAATAAGAAAAGCGTAATAAATTTCATTTTAATTATTCGGTGTACCTTGTTGCTCGTATTTGCGGTTCACTCGAGCTGAATAAACCTAAGCAGCGATAATGGGGTGCTGGGGATTCCGTCACTCGAATCCGACATATAAATTGTCACCCGAAAGGGGATATTACCGTACAACGGTAGAAGTGCTAGCTCGCTCGTAGCGTGGGGATTAAACGCAAGTAAAGCGTTAGTATTTGAAATGGTCCCTACGTGGATTACCAACGCTAAAATCTACTATTAAAACGTTGCCGTTAGATTGCTCGCATCGCTGCCCCGCTGGTCCGGTTTCATAGACCTGGCATTACATCACGTTGCACTTTGTTGCCTTTAATTCAATTTCATTGTGTCCCATTTCATTCGGCCACCAACTTGCTCGATACTGCTAGAAAAATATAACACATTACCAATGGTACACTCGAGTTGGTCAGACTGGCCCTCGATGGAAAAAACGTCGGTGACACGTGTCATAAACCAGACAAGGGAAACGTAGACAGAAGTGTATCGCAACGATATATTATATTAGAAGCATGCAAAGCTCCATAGTATTTTAGGACATTCTAGTTGTTGCTAAAATTGCTAGAATAACTCTTGGACTTTCCGAATGAAACCAGAGTCGAAGAAGGAAACCATTTATTAGAACCAAGTGTGTATTGGAGCCTAGGTTCAGCATTGTGATAAAATATTGAAGACAGAATACGGGAGCAATAGTGGTTCAGAAACGCAACGGGTCCCGAGTTCGAAATTGGGCTGAAGACAGGAAAAAGGAGGAGTCGTGCACTTCACCATCGAATTATGTACACGGCAAATTCAAAGGGATCGTGCGGCAACCATCGAAAACCATCTTGTATCGGGAAATAAAACGAGAGACGAAGAAACGGTACGAGGGTTAACGACAGCCAAGACAGAGAAGAAGATACAAAATGTATCGCGCAACCGTCATAATTAAAGGTGTAGGTCGAGAGTAAGCAGCTCGATCAAGTGGAAAACATGGAAAAAAGAAGCGATACGAGGGGAGATACAATCGCGAAATCGACAAACTCGAATACTCGATACGAACGGGAGGAGGTAGAAACTGCGATACGAATTAAATTGAATGCCTGTAACGCTGCAAGTGGAAGAAATTGAAAGGTGACACCAGGAATCGTTCGAGTTAACAAGGATGGAAATCTCAATCTTGGAAATTCGAGATATTACGAACAAGTAAGAACGTGTAATGGTTGTTCAGATTTCCAACGTGCGTTGGATGAAAATTGCTCTCTGCGGTTACGTTTCTCTAGCTGCTCTGAAATTATATTCTAATGTACTAACTTTTTAAAAAATCGGGTCTTCTAGGTCGAAAAACGCTCCTCGTCGTCGTCGGATAAGGGAGAATTTTAAATACCTTCCTAAAATAATGTAGGGGTCTAAAGTAAAAATAAGGCATCCTCGGATCCACAGTCGACCGCTTTACCTATGCGACCAATCCGTATCCCACGATTCGTGTTATCGTTTCACTCCTTATTCTCGGGTATGAGGGGAGGGCGCGATACTAGAATAGGCTACACCTCGGCAAAATGAAACTACCTATACAATTTACTCGAAAATTTCGACAAGATGCTGTTACTTTTAACCATTATTAAATAACGTTGATAGGAAGTGAATCAAATTGTTGTTGCTATCATCTTAATGGCACTATATTGGATATTGAAATGCGTGCTCAATTTAGTTGGCCAATAATAGATAGATTGGTTTCATGTTCGAAATGTCTAGATTGAATAGTAATTGCGGCGCGCCTAGGTTTGCTAGATGAGATTATATTGGCATAACTATTATTCCAGCAACCCACATTGAACCGTACGATACATTTACCAGTAAATTCGCAATTAGGCTACTGACTAGCATTCCTACGTGTGACCATATATTTCACCTCGCTTATGTTAATAATTAACGTTTCCGATAATGAATGTATTGTCATCGTGTCGATCCCAAGAGCACGTAGAAAAGTGATAACAATTAATCAAGAGAAATGAAGAACGAGCGGAATTTGTACCTAACAATACGTAGAATTGCACGAAGAAAAGTAAAATGCTCGAATGCTATTGTTGTTGCTTACCTGGCTGGAAAGATAGACGTTCTCATTCACGTTGACTCGTCGATGTTCTTGCTATTTCACAGTCTTCGAGATTCACAATTTCACTGTTTGCACAACAAATTTTGTTCGATTTACCAGATTGACTCGTCTCGTCGACGAAATAAATTTTGTTCGCTTAATCAGTCGAAACGATAACTGTCGTACGAGAAAACCAATCTGTGTTTATCACGCACTTGGCTGCTCCCCGAAACCACTGGCACGCACAGCAATAAACCCGTGGAAATCGATTTATCGAAAGAGATGAGGAACCGTATCTTGCCAAAGGGACCCGTCGCGTCAAACTGACTGGGGAAACGGATTGGAGGAACGAGACTTCGCCTTCCGGCTTTCAGTTGAATTAACACAAAGCCACGTGATTGGTAGATCGCTCCTAGGTAAGGATGTGTCGACCTTTCGAAAGAACCCTCGCCCCAGCTCGTCGCGAAGAACGTAAACACAGCCATTCAGCTTTATTATTATTCCCGTATTAACTGTACCGTATCCGTGTTTACGTAGTACGTCTCCGAAGACCACTGTTATTATTCGTTGTAATCCATAATCACTGTTGTCAGAGCAAGCTTTGTCGACTCCGCATCGCGTGAATTATATTCTCTGTTTCAGGAAAGGAAGCGTTATGGGAATATTCGCTATAACCCATTCTCGTGGAATTACAGCGATAACAGATAAAAAGTTGAGCCACCATTCGGTGGATTAGGATTTCAATTTCAGGAAACTATCGAAATGTAAATAGTAGAAGGGACGAATCCATTCCACTCAGGTGGGGAAGAATTGTTTCCTATAACCGGGGACCATTGAATTCGACCCCCTTCTCGAGACCCAAACTTCTTCGCGAGCAAACAAGCGACGGAATATTTGAGAAAGGAAACAATCCAGTATATTGTGTTACACATACAAAGCAGAGAGGTATCCGATGTTACAACGTTGGCGCGTGACGAGCATGGGGACAAGAGAAACACGTTTCCCTGCAATAAATGCGTATCCTCAAAGAAACGAGGGGTGACGGTATCGTTCAGCGCGCTTTCCCTTTCAGGCTGAAGCACAAGGATTTTCTTTCTATCAAATAAACTGAACTGCTTCGAAGAGCTGCCCCGTTTCATGGTGCATGCCTCGCAAACACGCGAGAGAAAACTCTGACCTTCCGGAGACCACTTAGAGGCGGCAGGTCCCTCCAGACTTTCTTTCCCCCTCGACACTTGCTGCTGTTGACTTATTATCAATTTGTACGGGTGAAAGTGGTATTAGCGAGACAAGGAAAAATTGGATCGTAGATCTAATGGAATTGTATCGTGGATGGAAGAGGCCGGTAAAGGTGGAGAACTTATTTCAGTTTAAGGGTTGACGGATAAACGTTTGGCACGGAGGCTCGATTTCACGCGCAGCTATACTTGAAACTCGACAGGTGTACTGTCGTTTTCGAATTTGGTCATGGCAGAGGAGTCCGTATCCACGTGAAATCAGAACGCAGATGATATCAGGCAAACCGATCAATGTTTGCGCTTGCAAGGGAGACAGGTGTCATTTACGTCGTGCCGAGTTAAACTCTAACCTTTTCATCCTGTACGTGTCAGTAGAGACAACGGTTTGCTAGAAACTAATTTAAACAATTCAAACGATACCGGACAAGTAACTATGCGGAACGTTACGTTTCCATGGATGCTAGAAATTACTCGTGTTCGCACTTGCATTACACGTAGGCGATTGCTATACAGCTCATCATACAAAAAAAGTTTTATAGTTGTGTAAGGTATTAGAGACATTTTATAGGTATGTAAAATATTTCATTTCGATTCGTTACGTTGATAAAATATAAATAAAGTTTATTGGAGTTATCGATATCGCTCGCAACCACCTAAACGCGGCATTTAAATTTAAATATTTCCGAAACATGGTCCAAACAACAAAATTCCCAAACGCGAACCTTTAGAACCCGAAGAACGCCATCGCCGTCAGCGTGCACCCTTTCATTGAAAAAAGCCTTGTCCATCCTCGCAATCGAGCAGCACGCAGACCTAACCCACGCTCATCGGAAGATAAACCTCCGGATCATCCCACCCATTGTATCTCGCATTGGCGCCACGTTAGCCGGTTTGAAAAACCGATGACAACCCTCGACAGGCGCCCTTACACGTCCACCCCGCGTCCTCGTCGTCGGCGCACCTCGCGGCGGACAAGAGAAGGCCTCGGCTCGTTCGGGGAAAGAAAATGCAAAATGCTCGATTAATTGGTCGCAGGTTGTATCGAGGCACGTTGATGGCGGGTTAGAAGGGGAGGCCGAAAAGATAAGGGGGTGATCGTGGCTGCGCATGTGCATGCTCGTCCTGAGCACTTGTTACTGGTGCCTCAGTCTCGGCTTGTCTGGGCTGAAAGCCACACGGGCCGCGCCGCAAACTACCCTCGCGAACGATCCAGAGCCCCGGGAGACGTTCTAAAGATAGAAAACAGGAACCGTGCCAGTGGATCGTCGTCCGAAAATCCTGGTTACGGTCCACGGGAACCGTTTGTCACGCGGATGAACGCCCTCTGCGACGGGAATTGTGCGCACACGCGAGGGACTAACGTTAAAACACGCGGAAGAGCGACGTCGAGCATCGGATGAGGATATGTGCGCGCCAACGGTGTCCTCGACTCGCATCCTTGGCCCGAGATGAGGAAAAGGGAACACGGTGCACCAGCAGCTTTTCGCTAACGAGTAACAGAGGGCCGCGAGGCCAGCCAAAGCGTGGACGAAGTTTGTAAATCGTGCGAATCGATTCGGCCGACTCGATTCGAATACGCGACGCGAGCCGTGAGAAGTCGCGTTTTATGTATCAGGTGATTCTTCGAGCTTTCTCTAAAAATTTTTTTCGCCCCGACCGGAAAGGGATCGGTGGACAATCTTTTGTAAATTTGCGAGGAATAGAGATCGATGCAGACTCGAATACGAGGACTCGTTTTTTTGAACGACCAACGAGAGGAACGTTTGACCATCGATGCATTACGAATGATTTTTAGGAATTACGTACATGCGATATCGCATTCCTGGCTTTAGTTGAAAATTTTAATGGTTTCTAGGGTGAAAACCTCTTCGAAGGAATTTTGTGTAAAACGCTTTTTCTGTGGAACATCAGTGTTTCTTTGAAGAGGTGTTTTTACCTCTAGAAATGTTATTTAGCGCCGTGAAAAATATCAAAAGCATGGTCACGTACACTTATTGTTAGTATTGTTGAAATCAGATTTTTGGTGTGTATCGATTAACGGTTTTTCGGAGACATTTCTCATCGGTTTCTTGCAACCTTTTCGTTTTAATTATTTGCAAGGTTTGACGTTTCACTCTTCCCTTGATTTATTTACAGTTTTTGTTACCCGGTCTCTTTTGTTTTCGGCGAAACGTCACCCAACAGGAAACAACGTTCGTTTGTATATTTTCCAATTTTAAAGTCGCCTTGTGTTTAATTCTCTTTGTATGCGTTTGTACCGTTTCTCATCCTATTCTTTCTACGTGCTCATTTCTCTGAACATTAAAGTAGCTCGCGAATATGAACATCGCACGATTCGCGCATCGACTCATTCCCTTGGGAATGATTAGAAATTTTTTTATTTTAGATACGATTGAATTCTTCCTGTAGTTGTTGAAAATTTATTTCCTGGACGACGTTTTCTCGAGAAAGAAATTTCGCTCGTTTAATTTAACCATTCCTTGCGATATTCCTTTTCAATTGCCACCTCGTGATTTATCTCCAATGACGTATCCCTTTAAGGATCTCGTATTTAAATGATCAAAGAATTCGTGTCAATCCTATCAAGGTGAAAGCAACGTAATTCTTTTATACCTTAATATTTTAATATTTCTCCGCTTTATTTATTTTCCGCGTTGAAGAACAGTGTGTTGCGATAAACGTAAATGCCAGCAGCATTTTTTCCTATAACCTTAACAGAACTGAATATAATTTAGTTATTATCGCGTCGAAGAAATGCTAAAGCGTAGTACCTCGTTAAAATAAACAGTATTGAAAACATGGGTAACTCTTACGATAAAAAAATACAACTTTAATGTATGTTGCCACGTTTCAGAGTGATTGCGCTACGCATAAAAACGTATATTCTTTTTAAACCACGGCACGACTGGTAAGAGGGCGCGATTGCGTATATTTTCGTAATCGTTATAAATACTTTCTTGAATTTAAATTTACGTTTGTTACTCAGCAATGTATACCGCATAGCACACTCCATGAACGTTATAGTCTTTTGTCCTATTTTTAAACAGGAAATGGTTCCCTTGGAAACAATCCCATTAAGTTCACGAACAATAAGGAAAATAATCATCGATTTAGCCACCGATGTAACACAGTTGTTCTCGTGTCGATCGATCCATTCGATTCTTCCCAATTCGTCCGAAATAATTATTGATCCTTGTTCACCAGCGTTGTGCTTGCATCGGTGTTTATCGTCGACGTTCTTTTATGGGTTTTGTACACATTCTTGCTTACGTAATCGAAGTCGTGGACGTTGCGATATAAACAAGGACGTTCATCTAAAGTGCTGTATGCAATGGGATGTGATCTTATTCAAATCGAGTGCCTTGGTTTTTTTTTGTTTTTTTTTTTAGAAGAAGAAGAAATGGAACCATCAGACTAAATATTCCATCGAGAAGAATCGTACGATAGGTATCAGAATTGATGACTTAATCGATGTACAGGACACCTAATTTTCTCTTTTATTTTTGAGAAATAACATTTATCAGAGATGATTCGAGTGGCTTCGAAGTTCGAATAAAGGCAGAGATTGAATAAAATGACGTTTAACTCGTATTACATAAGTTAGCACAGTTTATTTTTAGATAAAGAGATTTATCTGTAAATAGCAGCGATATCTGATGTTTTATAGTAAGTAGCGTGTAATATATTCCTTTGTTATAATCTTATTTAACCAGAGCTCGAGTGACTGCCTCCATTTAATCGCTTTGGGATGATATTTCTCTGTCCTTTGTAAGTAGATATAAATGTTCCTAGGAAATCGATATTTCCACCACTTTAGAAAAAGATGGCAGACTTATTCGTTATCTTAAGTCTGTTTTCTCTTTCAATCTTGTATGCAGATGAAACGAAACAGTGAAGTTCCACCCTCAACTCGTTTTATGCAACTAATTATACTAAGAACTTCAAATGCATTGTATTTAATATAATAAACGTAATGCCATGGCATTCAAATTAACAAATTCGATGTTCGCATTCACAGATTTATTTTAAGATGAAACGTAATTGAGAAATTTGTTTCCGAGGATGCCAAGAGAATGAGTGAAACTCCATTCCTTCTTTGCTGTTCGTATTATTCTATAATAGCCTGTTAATTACCATAATTCAATTCGCACAGCGTGCAGGGTATCAAAAGGGAATCGAGGACTTAAAAGTGGCTAGCTAATAAATTGAAAATAATAATTCTGTCGGAGTTAGGAGCGATCATGGTCTTGTTAATGCAAATGTTCCCTTCACTTGTCTTAACCGCATGCAGTTTGTAACCAAATTATTATCTTGCAGCATTTCCCCATTTTCATATCTACAAAGGGTGGTCGGTCCAAGTATTCTTCTTCCATATCCAGACACGAGCTTCATATCTTCGTAGAGGGGATTGCATGCCCTCTCAAAAATTCCTGGCTTTGTTCCCAGCCACTTGACACGCATTCGCAACCCATCAAAGCAAGAAACTATTTCTTCTTATGGCATTGCAAAATTAAAATTCGATAATAATTGTTAATTGAATGGATGGAAGTTTTTCCTTTTCTTTTTTTTTTTTTTTAAATAAATGATCAAAATTTGAATAATTCTAATTAAAAAGAATAAACTTTGTTTAGCGCCATTGCAATTCTATATTTAGTGAAAATTAAAGAGCAACGTTTATTCGATAACATTGTATAGATATAAGAGGCCACATTCGTGATTGGTAGAGAAATATGTATCATAGCGTTTCGTTCCAAATCCGTTAGAGGACCCTTCAGGGATCACGTCCCCTTCCAATGAAATCCTGCCTTCGATATCAGTTGCCAGGAGAGCAAAGTTGATCTAAACAATAGCAAACATATAAAATCGTAGAAAAGAACGCATTAAAAATATCCACAAGTAGGTGAGAACAATGTCGAGCAACTTTTGGAATACGCCATCACTATTCTAGGGAAAGAATGTCCGTGACTTTTATTTACTGCAATTTTCTTAGTCTCCTGAGTGGTATGCATGAAACGCAAAGTTTTGCGACAATAACTCTTCAGGGAAACATTTCCGAACGTACGTCTACACAAACTTTTCCACGTTTCCTATCAAATCCCACGCAGACGTCATTTCATTCGAAGACACCCCTTGTAATATTTTAACATTATTTTCATTTCTACCGAGGAAAGAAATCACTGGCGCTATCAAAAAGGAATATCACTTTCATCCGACCCGATTTTCAAGTATTATATATGAGATCTCGAAGTCAATCTAAGATTAGCATTCGTGGCAGTAGAATAATATATTTTTGCATTAACTGAATGATATTATTCCAACAAGTTTTGTTAATTATCAAATGAAATTACCAGAATCAATAGATAAAAATGTACAGGTAACGCGATCGTTTTGAGGAAGATGATCGACGGCTCGTAACGCTGTAGAAAAGCGAATATGAAAAGGGTAATAAATCAACAAAGGGAGACGGTCCTCTGTTTCTCGCGAACGCGCGGGTCTGTTTTGATAAAGCATTCTTTCGAGTGCATTCTTTGTTTTCTCTTCTCTCGATCAACGAACCGAAATCGTTCGATAGCTCGAATCACCTATCACCGTTGTCCGCCGTTCCTCTTCCCTTCGAGGATCCATCTACCGAAAAGTTGTTCTAACCAAGGTTGCTTTTCGTTTGTTTCAGCGGAGAACTTCAACGGAACCTCGTCATCGGCGGAGCGTGAAGAACTTCAAAAGGGTTCGCTAACGATGGAATCAGCGAGGTCCCCAAAGTGAATCGTTTCTTTGAAGGACGCGGATGAGCATGGATATCAGTGAAATTCGAACCCACCAGCGAGACCAAACGTTGTCGAACGACCTACGATGAGGAACTGTTGAGGGTGCTCGGAGCTTAAAGGACGAGTGAACGCGAGTCTCACGTGTAAACCTGGACACTCGACAACCACAGACGCGCGCAGAACAACCGAACGTCCCGTATCCTCGAAACGATCGTAGAATGGTAATCGCGAACGCCATTGATCGGTGATGAACGTTTAGAGACTCCGTTGTCGATGGTGTTATCCCTGGCAGGCTCGCGACGAGGAAGGAAATATTTGAAAAAAACGTTGAGTGAAACGGGTTTAAACGGCAGTGATTCCGTGAGTTCGTCGAGAGGCAGAGCCCTCCCTTCCTGGAGGCCCCTTAATTAAAAGTGTTCGGCCGTTTTTCGATCCGATTGGTTCCTGTTAGGTGTCGTTGATGCGCGTCAAAGATTAACGAGGCTCGATTGGGGAGCCCAGGCTCGGGTTTGGTCCGGAAAGCATAGTAATTGTTCGATTCCACGAGGAATCGTTGCGAGTGTGTTAGTGCTTCTTTATTTCCACGGAGGGAAGAAACCGATTGCCTCCGAACATGGGCTGCGAACTTGGCAAATTGGCGACTGTGAAGACGCCACCGCAAACTGCCACGGATCCACGACTTCCGCTCACGGCGAAACAGAAATTTACGGTTATGGCCAGCTGGAAAGCCGTGTCCAGAGCGCTGGAGCCAACCGGCGTCTACATGTTCATAAGGTTTGTAGGGTCGATATAAGATTCGAAGGACAAAACTCGTAGGTGGTTTACGACTAGCGTCGATTCGACGGTGAAACTTTTAACTGAACTGGTTCGGTGCAATATTCAAATTGTTTAATCGTCTGGAAAGTCCGCGTCGATTTTTGCTGTTACAGATTTGAACACGTATACATCCCTTAAAAGGTGAAACGGTTGTGTTTTGGAATTTTCTTAAAAATCGCAACGAACTTTTTGGACAACCTGATATTATTACATCAGGTGTCCCTGCGTATCGAGTTCGCGTGTAAGTATAGGGTGGATATTTCGGATGTTTAATAAAGTGTGTAAGCCAGAGAGAGAAGGTTTGCAATTTTGATTTCGTAAGTACTCGAAGCATTCTCGCTATTATGTAGCAGTTAGATTGATATCGAAACTCCATGGAATGTATCCAGTTTGATAACGGTAAAGCCACCCGGTGATTCTTAGAATTTCGTTGGCAAATACGGAGGGGATTTGTTTAACGAGACAATTCGCAGATTACGTCAATGTTCCCAAAGAGATACGCGATATTATACGAGATCCGCTGTCGTATTCAGCATATCCGAGACAATCGGTATCCCAAGGGCTGGTCTTATCTTCCCTTTTACCCTATAACGATATCCGCGGTGGTACACAATATCGTTAAAAGTAAATGGAAGTAGATTTTGCGAATTAATGTTCCCTGGAGGGTTATGCAAACGACGATACGGTTATATCAATAGAACTTTATTGCCACCTTTCTCAGACCTTCCGAAACGGTGAAAATGGCTTGTAACACGACATTGAGATCTAAATTTCGTTGAATAACGTAACACCAGAATAACCTGTTAATTGCGTGACAAATTAAATGTATATAAAACAAAACCGAAGTTGTTGAAAGTTTGCTCTATTATAAGAGAGGGCTGGTACAACCCCGGTTGCAAAAAATTGTTCTTACTTAATTTCAAAATATTCGTCTTCTTAAAGGGACACGAGAAAAAGATTCAGCCCTCACTGGATAATAAAATGATCGATCAATTTCACGGTACCGGAGTCCCTGATGATAATTAACTCGGACGATCAGCTCCCTCGTCCGTTTCATTTTTTGCCCGTCGACAGATACTAGATTCAATCCCCAATTTTTTTGTCTGTCAAATACACGCGGTGCCTCTTTATCTGTCGGCTTCTCTTTGTTCATGGAGAAACAATAGATTTCTAGATATCGGCGTGTAATATCCGAGCCAATTGACTGTGTAAAGTCCGTTTTAGAGGTCGTAAGGAAGATGACCGTTCGAAGACTTGAGCAGATACGTTTTCGTAATTGGAAAGGTTCGGTGGAATACGAAATATACTCGAAAACTAATTCATTTATGAAACGAGAAATTGTTGAAACTAGTTCTCTTTGATGTACGTACAACTATGCTCGGCGAACCATTGCACGAACTCTCGATAATAACTCTCGAACTTTTAACTCTTCGAATGCCCGTCGAGTAGTCTCTTCAGGTTCTTCGGTATAAAATTTTAAAACGAAGTTTCTGAAAAAAGAGGCCTTGTGCGATACGAAATTGTGTTAGGTGTTTCAAAGAAGTATGTGTACATGGCAACCGCGCTCCCATATATTCGACTATAAGAGTAAAATCAATAATCTAGCTAAGGGTTAGACCCCAAATCTGTATTATAACACGTTATCTAATATTAGATTTTACCTATACTCGACGCTCGACGATCTTCTCGTGTAATCAATTTGGTGCCTAGGACGGAACTTGTTGGCATCGGTGAAGCGACGATTAGGGTCTTCAATCTGTTTCATAAAGAAATTATAATTTTAAGTCCTTTGTACTTTTCTTCGCATTTTTAACTCGCACGTGTTTAAAAATAGGCTAATATTTGGACGCGACATTCAAATCGCAAACATTCTGTTCGCAACTCTATGTATAGGACGCGTCTGACATATGATAGATGATTTCACTTGAAGGAACTACAACGCGGGCGCACACAATTGGTCCTTCTCCGCCAATTCTCCTACATAATTACAATGTCCTGAACCTCTGTCGTGCACGAACGAGTATTTGATTGCGTATCTTCAGCGAAACGTATGACGTTTATCGATTGTAACGTCAAGCGGTGCCATCCGATCACAGAGTACTATTATTCCTCGAGATTAGCTCGACGACTTGACTCGGAATAATTATAATATCTTATCGTTGCAGTTTGAATTACATTCTATCTACGAAGAGAGTTCACTGGGAAAGCATTTCGTTGGATAGCAGTTGTACAATTTCACCTACATGTTTTTCAAGATTCGCGTGCTTCAAAAATGTACAACCAAAGAAACCGTTTAAAATGTAAATCCAAGTCGCCCGAAGGTTAGCTGGTATCATAGGGATGAGGCGCTAGATAGCCGTGGTCACCTTGCTCCAATTTGGCCGAAAAGTGTCGGTGAATCGAATACACCGACGGTCACCCTCTCCGAACCGAAAACTTTGAAAATTAACCAAACCACGTTTTCCGTCCGTATTATCTTAGAAACAACTACATCCCCGAACAAGCAAGACGCGTTTTGATCTCCAAACAATTCAGTCGTCCGCTCGAGTCTCTTGCAAACTTAACAGATACAATTTTGAAAGTTTAACGAGTCGGTTGCGTTTCCACGCTGCAATGCAATTTTCCAATTCAAGGAAATTGCGCTGCAGAATTGGACAAACCGAATGCGCACTCGCGTCTAGTTCAGATTTCATTCTATTCTCGGGCCTCTATTATTCTCCGCTAGTTCGTCTCGTAACCCTCGTCTCCTCGCACGCGTCGACGTCCCTCTCCATTTATTTTTTATCTTTATCTATATGCTTGTTACTGAATAATGGGATTCCTGATATCGATGTACTCTGAACGTAACTAGAGCGTGCGGGATACGTCTACAAAGGGGTACCCTGAAATAATTTATCGCGGTCAGAAAACCGGCGAGATTCGTTCCCCTCTTCGGATAATCAACGAGCGCGCAGAAATACTGATAAATATAAAACGAACGCGGAGAAAGAGAGATTACGTTCCTGTTCGAGGATGTAACGTTCAATATCTCGCCAGATCTTTCACCTCGAGTAAGAAATCCACTGGAACCGTTCGTTCCGCACCCATCGAAATTCCCTGTTCGAATAAGGTGCGAGGGAGAAATTAACTTACTTTAAAATCAGGTCAGAATAAACGAGGATCGGAATCACACTCGACTCAAGGACGATTTCGCGCCGAGACCTCGAGGAATTGCTCTCGAAGGAAATATCTCTCCCACCCGAAGGAAAAAGTCTCAAGAACGTGCGAACTCGCAGTATCGGCCCACAACCCTACAACTCTACCTCTTTCTTTTACTAAAAATATACAACAATATTCGCGGTAGTGTTTGTAAACAAAGTAAAATTAGAATTGGTAATATCGAAACATCAAGACAAATTGTGAATTGATCTAGAGATACGCGTGGTCAAGCGAGGCCCCAGAAGTCCTTTCAGACACGCCGTAACAGCTCGAAAATGCTGCGCAGAGGTAGCGGTATCGTTTAGCAACTCGCAACTCGTTTATCGGGGTCTGTAATTAAATTTTTCAGTCACGGTGGAATTTCCTCCTCTGCCAGCTATCGACGTATCGGTTCTAGGTCTATGATGGCACGAAGAAAGTATTCCCAAACGATAGACATTTGATACCTAAATGCTGCACAGTCACTTTTTCCGTTGTTAACAAACGTCCGCGATGTTAAAGTTCTACGTGAAACTCGCGTAGTCGTTGTTTTTCCTTTACCCTCCGCCTGCTGGCGAACAATGGACTTCCTCGTATTGGCATTTTCAGACCATTCACGTGACCAAGCGCAGAAATAGTACACTCATGGTTGTTTGAGAACGCATCGACGCGAAAATGAGTCTATCATGTTTCTTTGATTTTCCTCTTTCACCTGTTATATTTTTCGATTTCGACGCACCCCGCGTTTCTTTCAATCTCGTTCCATCCTCCCACTATCCATTACAAATCCTTTTCATTGTTTCGCTTGCCATCCTCCTTTATCTTCGTGAACGTCGAATGTACTTAATCGAACGCTTCGCGAACGTCCCGTACGCTTCACCAAGGTCCAAGAAAAAATTATACATAATCGGACGTAAATTAAAAATTGCTTTAGAAGGCGATTACAGGTTTCACTAAATTTTCGTCGGAACAAACCTCGAAGAATATTTCGTAGTATTTTTACACGATTAAGTTCATCGCGTGTTTCGATTGCTTGACCTGACACCATTAGATTCTATTCATATAGGACTTCCAATGAAGAACGCGTTACTGAAACGACATCAATAGCGTTTGGAGATACTGCAGCGACCTCGATTTAAACGCCTTTCTTCTTAGTTTATAAACTGCATCCTTTCTGGTACTTAAAATACAACAGTCCTTACTATACGAACGCCTAAATTAATTAATATAGACGCCTGGCCAAAAGAATACCCGACCTCGGGCTCCATATTTTCTGAAATAAAAATAAAAATCGTATGTAATAATCGTACACGTATTTCAGATTAAATTTAATAGAATAAGGGTCTCTCATTCTTCCATCAAGAAATTGGACATATTTCATACCATTTAAAACAGCACCATCCCTTGGAGAACCGTTTACGATGTACGCGTGCGCGAGATTGGTTCGAGGTACGCGAAAGACACATACGTGGGAGCTTTGGGGTTCGCAGTGGGGAAACCCGTATTAAATGCGCGATAAAGTAATTATAAATGGAGACCACGATCCTTCGCCACTCAACCTCACAGCGGAGATGTCACAAACGAGTGCACTCAAACGATTCTGTTCATGTACTCGAATCGCTTTAAATTCGGCTATGGAAAAATTCTTATCGAGCTGACTTTTCGTCGCGAGTAGTATACGGAAAGCACCTGGGTTCTACGTTTGCTGTTTTCATTAAGAAAAAACTTTGCCAAGTGTCCGATTACTTGGCTACCCTAAAGGAAGAAACTGACGGAAATCCGCTATATTAACTTGTACCCTCCAGAAAACTTTGCTATATCAAGAGCAAACAAAGACAAGTAGGGAAGAAGCAAATTGAGCTGCGAAAGGCCAGGTCAAAGAAAAAGGAACGAAACGATGTTACGTTGATGATGTAAAGGAAAGGAAATCTGAAGAAAAGAATACTTTCGTACAGCCTCGGCGACAAAAATTAAAAATGACAAATTAACTCTGACGGGTTACAAAGTATCGTGTATTTTTAATCTTTGCGTATTATTTGGAAGAAATGCGGAATTAGTTAGGAACACCACAGGAGCGTTGAGCAATCGCCGCGTTAACTGATAGAGCCATAGACGATTCGAGTTAAATTCTACTCAAGTACAGCTTGAAACTAGGTACCATAAGTCTCTGGAGAACAACTGTGCGTAACAACAAAGACCTGTTCGCTCCTTAGGATACCGCACGTATATCCTTGTTCCACAAAAACAGCGAAGTCTCCTCGTTTCTCTTCAAGGTAGCTGCGTCAGCTCCTCGTTTCTTTATGAGACAGTATAATCAGCTCCTCTTTCCAAAGGTAGCTTGACCCCTCTCGGTGACGGTCTCTATACGTCATATGGTCTCCCGTTTTCCCCGTGTGGGTAATTATGAATATAAATAAATGTCCAACCCCTGTTTTCCTTGTTTGACCAGCGGGAGCAAACAGAGCTGTTCAAACAAAATTATATTTCGACGTTTCGACCGTGTGTGTACGGCCCTCCTCGCGAACACGACCGTACGAAGTATAAATAACCAAAAATTAGATCAAATAAGGGTGTAATTAATTTAGCAAACGTTTCCATACTTAATTTGGTAAATATTCCATAAGAGTAATGCATAGTTGGTAGACCTTTGTTCTTCTACCCTACGTATATATTAATACTGCGACGCGTTCGTCTGTGTTAATTGGAGTTAAACGAAATACATTTCGAAAGAGAAACGTTGTTTTGTTTCTTCGGTACTCGCAACGCTACCGCTACTCGTAATCGTTAATCATAGTCAACTGTACGATGTAAGCTCTAGACAAGGCGTGTAATTACTGCGAAGACGAATGGAACAACGTTGATAGGATTATGTTACGTTAAATTACTAAAATGTACGTCCTACCTGTTCGACGCTGTTACCGTTGGCTCACCAATATTGAATTTTCGGAATACGTGAAGCTTTGCCCGTGTAAATGGAACAAGTCGCGTTCCCCGTCGCTGAGAGGCTAATCAACTCCTGAGGTAGCGTAATCAGCCACTCATTCCCTACCGTGGTAACTTAATCAGCTCCTCATTTCTTTCCGGGACAACTGAATCAGCTCCTGAGATAGCTTAATCAGCTCTTCATTCCTTGCTCTGATAACATGGCCAAGCTGCTCATTCCTTGCTAAAGTACCTTAATCAGCCCCTTACGCAACCTAATCAACCCCTCATACCGCTGCAAGACGCTTTAATTAGCTCTCGAAGCGACTCGAACGACGTCTACATACCTGTAGCGACAGCTTCGTCGAGTAGAGTACTCGAATAGAAAATATTACGACGTCGGCATAGGTAACGTTTATTCTGACTTTTATACGATTCGAATACGCGGAAAAATCGTTCGAAAATTGTACCCTTTTCATGTTTTCTAATCCGATCTATAAATCTCGGGGACCATTTGGAAGCATTCTTATCCACAGCGACGTCATCGCGCTCGTCTGCATTCGCAGCGCGCATCGCTTCGTCCTCTCGCAATCGAAGAGCCGTTTGACAAGTATTTGCGTCCAACAATCGGTGGTAATGTATTCAAATACGGAAAGGCGATCAGCCAACCGCTTCAGAGCAACTTAATCAAGTTCGATTTGGTCATAGTTGACGTTGTCGTCCGAGATGCGAGTGGATCGGACGCGCTTAGTTCAGCTAGAACCACCGGAATCAATAAACGGCTGTACGTGCGTGTTATGTTCGGGATACTGGTCAGCTCCATCCTGACGGCTCCTCGTTTATAGATATTTTTTTCATCGTTACGTATAACCCCCATTCACGCGAGTTTCAAATAAACTTTACCGAATCGAAAGCCCGTTATTACGAAAGGAAAACGAAACAGACAGGGATATCGGCGTATTTGTGGATGACGGTGTTTACACGAATAGCAATTACGCGATAAAGTTACAATCGTTGCCCGCGCGTTTGAAAACTCAACTAAAAGCGCAAACGATTGTAATTTCGTGGAGTTTTATTTTTACTTTAAATTGTACACCTCGGAGTCGAACGGTTGTTTTTTATTTCTGGAAGACTTATAGATGTTACGGAGATTTTTTTTTTTTTTTTTTTTACGATACGCAATGATGAACGACACGCCGTTTGAACGATAACTGTAAATTGTTGGGGGGTTGTTGCACAACCAACCGTGTGACGCGACCGTGTGGCACGGCAATATGGCGCAGCGCTAAAATCTAGCGCACTTCACGATTGATGAACGACAGATTGAAATGTGTACGATCGTTCGGCGACCAGTTGAAAAAAATCCCCTGCACGATTTCTGGTTCGAAACAGATGTTGGCGTGTATACATTCGGAAAATTCGTAACTAACGAAACGTTTATTCGCCACAAACAAGATTTTATTGTTTAACTGAAAGCGAATTTCTTAGTTTTAATTTGTATGCTCGAACGATAGGACGTTGAAGTTTTAGAAAGGGTCAGATACGTTTCGCTGGTTCTCTTTCTTCGGTGGCTGGCAGAGAAAGTGGAGCATGTACTGCTTTTAAAGAGAATAGATCGTATCCAACAACTGGAGTGTCAGCAGACGTAAAAAGAGGAGCTCTTTTGACTTGTAACGTTATGATAAGATTATAGGAAAGAAATGTAGCATTTCGGTCGACGTCGATATTATATCGATCGTGGGTATATCGTGTCGAGGCTAGATCATATTGAGCGGAATTTAATGTCATCTGTGAAAATGATTCAACTATCGTACGCAAAACTAGCTGTCCTGTACAAAAATAACTTCTATTCTCATGTTCTTCTAGTAAAATGTAAATGCTTGGCTGAATATATTGATCCGGATTGGTATAAGGAACTATTTTTAAATGACTATTATTACTTCCTTCTAAGATTAGCCGCCGCTAACGATAAATATCATTTTTTCGAATCAACGAGATCCGAGTGTTCGAGAAAACGGTTTCAGATATTTTTCATCGAACGATTATGCGTGATGCACGATGCGAATGCATAGAAATGTGCGCAATGTAGTATGTAAAAAAAAAAAAATTAGAAAAACGAGAGAAGAGAGAAGAGGAAGAGAATAAAAGAAAAGGGCTTTCTAAAGTAAGACAAGTGGGCCTTGTCAGGGGGTGGCCGAGTTATCTGGAGTGTCCAGGAAAGACGAAGGACAATTGAAGGCCCGTGAGTTCTAAGTACTCCAAGGATACCTACTGCGGAGAGGTCCAAGAGTTTTTAGAATCCTGGATCGATTTCCTGCCTCTACTCGGTCCTTTTCCCCTTCCCGGTGAATATTTTAACAAATAAAGGCCATCGTAGTTCCATCATAACGTGATCCAGTCTTGGACTTGAGCGCTAAAACTTGTGCGACCATATTACCAAAGTTAACGTGGAATATCTTGTAACACACTATTCTACCTTAATCACGCCACAAGTGACAGGTCAGCTCATTTTCTATTTGATACGTTGAATGCTAAATATATGGGTGACATGGCGATCAACGTGTTAAATTAAATAAAGCCAACATTATAATTTTAGCGTGGTACTACACCGCATGGATTGAGCCCGAACTCTTGGGAGTCTCTGAAAGGTTCCTCTGCGTAGCCAGAACTTTGAATCCATACCACAGTCCTTAACTACAGCCACAAGTTTGAACTCTCTGACTAGGTATTTGCATATCAGCCTCGACAGACGTTCGCAATGGTGTTATAGTTTATGCGAATATCTAAAATGCATTACAGTAAGACCATAACGATGTTCTCGTGTAGTCTTACGTAGAGTTTCGTATTTCGAAGGTTTTCATGTATCGAAAGATCCGTAATTCGATTGTTTTTGTTTAACGAACCTCCCGGAGTTAGACGATTTCGTAGACGATGACATCCTATTGGGCCACACGCATCCGTTCATCCTTTCCATATTTAATCGCGAACGGCAAGTTGCAAATGTTTATGGAATGAAGTGGAATACGAATGATAACGGGACACGATACCTGTTTGACACAATCGCAGATGATGAATGGTAGGATTGCTCATTAAATGGCATGTGCCTGTAGCGTGATCGCATTGCCTGATAATCGTTGATAACACAGCCAAGTATAACGTACCAGCTTTCGTACCGCTACGAGACGACAAATATTTCATCTGTGATAAATTACATAAGTACTGTCCAGTGCTCCATATTCTCGAGCCTCATTCATTCATGAAACGTGTTCGTTAATGAAATAACTCTTCTATAATTGAAGATGGATTATCGTTTGTTAATTTGCGTCTTAATTCGCGTATGCGTTTTCGTGTATTCGCAGGTTGTTCGAGGAAAATGCGGAATTGTTAAATATGTTCGAGCAATTTCGCGAACTCAAGACGAAAGAGCAACAATCTAATAGCATGGAGCTGGCACAACACGCGGAAAAAGTTATGTCTGCCCTCAACGAAGGTATCAAAGGCCTCGACGACATGGACGTCTTCTTGACCTGCCTTCATCAAGTCGGTGCCAGCCACACGAAAATTCCTGGCTTCAATCCGCAATATTTTTGGGTAAGTTACATGCGATATATCGTTAGCAAATGTACTAAGAATATTAAGAAAATTAGTTTCAGTATATTCGAGTAAAATGTCGTTTCGTGACACGGAGGTAAGGTGAAAAGGGTTGTTTAACCCTTTATTTAGTGAATTTCTCAAAATTTATATAATCTTATAAAGTTTGACAAGGTTCCAAAAAAAAAAAAAAAGAACTTCGTAGAAGTGGACTTGAAAGTCACAATAGGTTTGAAAGCGTTCAAAGTAATACCACGAGGAAACAGTCGGAACTTATAAGTCTCGCCGGTAAATAAAAGGTTAAGAACAGAAGCATGGCAACGTCACATCGTTTTCCGGTAATATGCTTTCGCAACGTTTAAATATTAACTGAATTATTAAAAAATATTGCTCGTTCCTTATCCAACGATGCCGTAACAGCTTCCATTAGTCTTTAAAAGGCAGACACAGCGAAAGCCTATTTAACTAAAGTGTTCTAAAACGTTCTCAAACGCTCCCTAGTTTTACTTCTAGTTTATCAAACATAACTCCATCAACAGACGTCTGCTTTGATCAAGGAAAGAAACTACTCTACTTTACGAACAATATAAATACGTACAGCCCATAAATTTTTACTGAAAATCACGGATAGAAACCTTCAAACCTCGAAGGTACATCTCCGATCATAAATTTCGCTTGCCATCCTACGAAACGGCAAACGTAATCGACTACTACGAACGAAAAAATCCAAGTAATTAATAGAGCATTTTTTTCGAAACGTTCTCTCAGAATTGAACGTTCCGCATAAAATTCACTCGCCTCCCTGCAATTCCTGGTGAACGATTTTCCTAGTACAAAAGATTCTTTGATTTTCTTCCATCGATTGTTCCGCGCTTTAAACGTCCTCTTCATGATTCCATCGCCGCACCTCACCCTCGCGATGTCCCAACAGGCGGTTTCGGAAATCGCCAGAGGGTACGAGAACACATTTCACAGTTGCTGAAAATAGGCGATGCTTTTACCTCGCGGAGACAAAGTTTGAAAAGATTTAGTGGGTCGCGAAAGTATTCGACCGTCAGGAACTGCGATAACTTTGATCGTTTTGCATTTCGCGTGTTATACGTAATACACGAATTTTATTTTCAGAAAATTGAAAAGCCATTCCTAGACGCCGTGGAGAGAACCCTGGAAGATCGGTACTCAGAGAACGTGGAGAACATTTACAAGCTGACGATAAAGTTCATCATCGAAACTCTGATCGAAGGCTTCAACAAGGCCCAAAACGACAAAGCACAGACCGACACGGCTAAATCCTAGTCGTCTCGGTCGCGAAGAACCGAAGGAACCTTAATGTCCGAAGGGGAAGTCTCCTGATCGCTTTCTGTCCCTCGGGACTTGATTTTCGTACGGGAAGCGAGCAATCCCAAAAAGAGAACGAATAGACCACTCGATCGCACAATCGTTCGTTTATTCCGAAATATCTCCATTTCTTCAGATCTGTTGTAATCTGCGTGATCGAACGTTCAAGCAGAATCGAGCCAGTGGGAACCGTGTAAACGCATTAACGTCGAATAACGTTCTTTTTTACGGAAGCACAAGTGGTGCTTTGCGGATGGTTAGATTTCAAATTATTTTCCATCGAGCGGGTCTCGGTTATGGGAAATAATATACGTGGGAAAAATAACTATGATTATCGTATTGCACACTTGGTCGTTTCGTCCCGCAAAACAAATGACGAAACGAATCGTGGATTCTATTGACGGTCAAAGAAGAATAAATAACGCGGCATCGTTTCGGATTATTGACTTCCTGTTCATCGGTCGGCTTCTTTGTACGATTCAACTTAATTTCGCTTGTTTGTATTTGTCGATAAACGATGGGATCGTTGAGATGAAATTTGAACGACGTAAATATGGTACACAAAAGAAATTGGGTGACCAGATACAAAGCAGGACTCAACGTTTTCTCATTGATTCGTTAATTTTTGAATTCGTGTTCCCGACACGTGACACTCGGAATTAAATTCCACGAGATTCGATACCATAGTCATCGATGCTTACCAAACATTCAGCGTTTTCTAACATGTATAGTAAGAAATCAGAAATTTTAGAGAAAAAGGAGTTTCCGAAACGTCATTACGTAGAATAAAATACTTTGGCACGCGAAAGTATCACGAGAAGGCGATGAGAATTTTATGAATTAATTAACGTAATTATGAATTAACGTATGCTGTTCGTAATTCTAAAGAGCATGTTTTCAGCTTCAAAGTGACTATAAACGCAAGTTATTCTCTCGACGTGCCGCGTAAATATCAAAGGCGAGATGGGGATGCGTCGGTCACATTCGTTGAATTTTCCATTTTACCGTGCAACATTTTCTCAGGGGTGCAAATACACACGTGTGAGGAGTTCGAAATAAAAAGTATCAGCGGCCGTGGTATCGAATCTCGGTCGATTTAACGTGGAATGAGTCGAACACGCGGTTAATTCGAATACATTTTAAGCGAATTCGCGTGCACTTCTGGCTTTCAGCGTGCGCTCGATAATTGGTATCAGAATTACCTCGAACCAATCGAAGTTGACTGGTGTTTTTATTCATGAGAGCCTTGGGTTACGTAAGTCGCGTATGTAGCACAGCTTTCTATAGTTCACGATAAAATATGTTCCCTGCCCATTGCTCTGAGAATCTCGTAATGGGAAACAGAATTTAAAAGAATTTAGAATCATTATTGGAAAGCTTCATCGAAATTCGAAGTAAAGTCGTTGAATTAAAAATGCTGTTTATAGTTCGTTACGAGTCATTTTCTTTTATCCGAAATTCAGAAACGAAATTAAACAAGTTACGAAATTTTTCACTCGCCACACACGCACACGGGGTAGCGAAGATTAAAGAGGGTTAGGCGTTTCCTCTGCGACGTTCGGGGACTACCTATACGTTTTTCTATATGACAATTACGACTCGAGTTTCACTGTATCTGCCATGTCCATGCATCTGCCGTTAATTCGTGTGTCACGAAGCGTTTCAAAGTCACCTCGTTACAAGGGAGCAATATTGGAAAGTGTCAGAACGGCTAACAAAGAAATCGATAACCTGTATTCTCACAAAGTACAGAATCCATTAGGCAGCTTATAAGCGTGACAAAATGCAATGGCACGTGTGCGAAAAAGATTATTAATAAGTGTTACATTGATTTCTCGGCGACTGTGATGTTCATTTGAACTTCTCCCTCGTGGTTTGGTTTTGTGTCCGTTCAACCGAAAAGAAAATATCAATTCAACAGATTTTGCCGCGGTGAGGAAATACATTACAGTCAGAAATGGACCAATTCGTATTTCGGGAATAAAGTTAGATGCTACAGCTAAGCAGTCCGAGAGCTTTTATTCGATTTGCGTTGATTGAAATAAATTAATGTACTATAGGTGTAGTATGTACTTGTGATTGTTTCGACCAGGGATTCGCGAGCTACGGGCACGTTGTATCGCGTAAATAAACCTGAAAAGTCCGCCTACCATCGTGAAAAGTATTTATTGATTCGAAGCCTGTACAGTCGAGAACAATAACGCCATAAAAGCAACGGTTTGCGAAACCCTGGTTAAGAGTATCCATTACTGAAATTAAATGTGTTAGGTTAATACGTGTCTTAAGTGCATCCTTCTATATTGTTTTGTATATCGAATGCCCTTTTGCAAAATAATCCAATATTGCAACGCTATCGCATTCCACTATTTGCAATCTGCCAAACCATCTTGTAATGTTTGTATTCGTAAGCTTTTAAATCCCCGTCAAAAATACGTATACAAATATCGAATGCCTACAGGTATAAAATAACTTTTATAATGAAAGACATTGAGGTGAACGAACAAATTTCAATCATCAGTTCAATCGTCTACGTGAAAATAGATTTATTTTGAAGTCCATGCAAACTTTACCGGTCATTAATAATAGATAACGATTTACTAACGTAACAGTTTCAATAATTATGTAAACATGAATGTGTGTATGTGTGCGTGTGAGTGTGTGTATATGTATATATAATGCATAAATTTGAGCCAAAGAAGTATTAATAAAAAAAAGTAGGTATACGAAGAAAGCGAAAAAAGGATGAGTTGGGAGAAGTATTTCAAATGAAAATCGGTAACGATTAAGTTTGTAGACTTGAACGATTATTTCTCATAAATATTATATTCCTCGCTTTCTGTACGCGATTCGCATACGCTCGATAAATTATTTTTATTTAAACGAGATTTATTTATTCCGAAGTTACGATATCTCGACGATTTTTTAACGTAATATAAATTAAGAGTCGATGTTTTCCTTTGCAAGCTCTATAAATACCATGTCATACATACATAAGCGAGCCACTTTAACGAAAATCGCGAAGAGCGTCGTTTCTATATCTCATCGAACGGACGAACCATTATTAACGTAGTCGCGCGATTTTTATAGTGTATAATCAAAAAGATGTTCAGAACGTACACGATCTTTGACCGTCAAAAGACAATTATATAGATTTTTACTCGCGATTAAGAAAGAAAAAAAAAAAAAGTATGCGAACGTTTAGGGTGTATCCCTTTGCGCAATGTCAATTTCCTAGGTGGTTCTCGAAACATGGGACCCCTTTGTTTCTGTATCTTCCTCGCCGTATTTATCTATTTCTGTTTCTCTCTGAGATCAATTTATTTGTATCGCTCGTCGACGAGGTTATCGAATCGCTGTCCTACAAAACAATTGCCGCCTCGTTCTTTCGATATTACTTCATTTACTCAACGAGACCCGATGGCTTCGTTGCTAATTGCGTACAATCAACAATTCTTTCACGCGTGAAGACCAAACGCATCTTAACGAATGGAGAACGATCAAATCATCTATTTATTACCTATCGGTACTCGGTCACGGAAACATATTAGCAATAGCGCGTTCAAATAAATCAGACAGGCCTACTTCTCGCATTAGAAGTGCGATCACGATACGTAATGCAGATAGCACAATATGTCTGTCCTAGCAACATGGGTCGCTATAAGATGTTCTGAAGTTATCGTTCCTCGATCGACGGGCAGGAATATCGGCGAATACTTTGCCTCAGAGAGAAAATACGTGTTCAATGATAAGGAAGAAAATGAATATGTAACGCGCCTTTCACATTATACACGATCGTCCGACGTGAATACTATAAACCGTCTGTATTTATATAAATAAATATACAGTCTCGCCTCCGACCGCGCATTCAATGGTCAAGCAATACTCGACTTGTCTGACCACACGTGATCTCGATCTACTAATCAGATCTGGAAGTGAAGGAAGCGCGAGCGTGGTCGGACAACTAGAATATCCCAGGTTTTTATTTTAAAAACGAACGCTTCGTTACCTGCACGAAGGTTACCTATTCGAAATCGTCTTAATTTCAAAAATTGTTCACAAAATACTTATATACAGGGTGTCCCAAAAATGTTGGAGTTCCTTGAAAGGGGTGGTTCGGGAGGTGATTTGAAACAACTTTTTCCTTTGCGAAAATGTCGGATGGGGCTTCGTTAAGCAGATATTAACAAAAAAGCCCCGACCAATCAGAGCGCGCGTATACCGTTGGAGCGGCCGCGGTAGCGAAGGCTACGAGCTAGGCGGCCGCGCTCGTACGCGAACAAGTGACTCGACGTGCACGAAGGACATTGACGCGACCGCCTAGCTTCGCTACCGCGGCCGCTTCAACGGTATACGCGCGCTCTGATTGGTCGGGTTTTTTTTTGTTAATATCTGCTTAACGAAACCCCATCCGACATTTTCGCAAAGGAAAAAGTTGTTTCAAATCACCTCCCGAACCACCCCTTTCAAGGAACTCCAACATTTTTGGGACACCCTTTATATATATTCCTGACGACGTATTTACAATCGTGTACAATGTGAACACACTCTTATTAACCAGAAGTAAGATCGATCGACAAGTTAGGTAAGAATACAGCGCCTTCGCAGTTCGACGAGTCTTGTTACGTGTAAACTGTATAGCAAATACATCCTCTCGTTCTGTTCCAATAAAAATATTATTTGTAAACGGCTAACGTTTCGTCACGTTCCTAAAATCGTAATATTTTCTTCGAACACTCTGAACTTTTTATTAATTTTTATACGAACTTTTACTGTTTCGCATTGAATATTATTCACGAGATTAATGTTTTCAAGAATCGCTTCTCTCGATACATCTAACGAACCACGATGGCGCTGCGATAAATGTTGCATGAAATGAGTATTAAAAAAAAAAAAACCTGTATGAAATTGTTGTTATACAGAATGATCGCGGATTAAGAAAAGAATGTTTAGAATGTCCGCTACAACATGAAACTGTGCACACGGCACGTTAGATGCGTATGGTAAGGAACTATTTGCTCGACTCGTGATAATTGAAAATTTCCTCGGAGACGCGTTATCTCTTCCGAAACAGGCATACCACCCCCACGCGAATCACTTATAAATTTTTATACATTAAATACGGCTCCGTACCATGAAAGTGAAATTACGTGTAAACAAAAATCGAGTGCCTACATCATTTCAAAATTCTGTTTACCACGAGTTTCTTATCAGTCTCTTTTAATGGATGTTTCATTTCGTATATAAATTTACAGAGTAAAGGAATTCTTACCGTAACCGTCTCGTGTGTGATAAATCTTAACCGTAATGAATAAAAAACAAAAAAAGAGTTTTATATGAAAAGAAAAAAAACAACAAAATGCACAAAACGAGTTGTACCTTCCTTTTGCGCAAAAAGAGACCTATTTAATCGAAAGTTTTCACGAATCAGAGAAAGCACACGAGAAATATGTGTATATTGTATACATTAATTTATAGTATACTTTACAATTATGCAAATGTTGCATTATCTGTCTGTTTGTTCTATGCAGGCCCAAATGTATTATTATATCCGATGGAGTATTACATATTAAAAAATATATGTATATATATGTATATATAGAACAAAATATATGTACATATATAAAGGTTACACGTGTCTTTTAATTCCCTTTAGATATTTCATTGATACCTATTTGATAAATTGTACCTGATTGATAATGATATACAGGTTTGTTAATAAGGGACGTTTTAGATTTTACTGAATATGTCTAATTTCTCAGGTTTTAATATAAAAATAGCCTTTGTATGATACCAGAGTATATAAATAATTTCCATTGATGAATGGATGGTAGGGATGTAAGTAAGAGATCGTATATCAACCTTAAAGATCTTCCACTTTTCAATTTAACGGTTAATAATACAAAACTAACGGCAAGGCTTACTCGGCATAATCTGCTTTAGAGTCGAGGTTGTACGGAAAGCGCAGGATTTTGCTATTTATAGGAATCTGATATTGATTGACAACTAAGAGAGTTGATAACAGTTCATAACAGTTCATAGCCCTCTAGCTGTAGAATCCAGTCGAATTTGTCTGGAAGATCCTGTTCCTACACTTCTAAATGTCACTTTCTCTTTCCTCTGATAAGCAGATGGTGTTATTATGTAATGTACACTTAAGGATCACTTTTCGTACGATATTTACTGCTATTTTATAATTATCAATTATTTATTTCATGGACCCTAAGACGGTGCTGCCATCTAACATCAATATCAATGCTCGATTTTATATCACATATGATCACATATACATGTTCATACGCATGCACACGCATGCACATATATTTATATATTAGTGGCGCCATCTAAAATGAAACGTCCAAGCTTGTCGAGAAATAGTTCAAATTTCTTACCGCTAGATGTTGCCAGGTCTGGGTAAAAAAATTAGAAATTGGAAAACTTTATTTCAAATAAATTCTAATTAACTTTAAGGTCATATTATTTATGTCTGAGATCAGAAAATTAAAATTTGTTTTAAACTATTAACATTTAACTATTAACATATGATTTGTTTGATATTTTTTTATATTTTAATTTTAGCCCTACCTTTTTCTGTAATATGATACATATAACAATCGATAATTAAATACAATATTATTTATGGTATTTATATTATAAACTTACAAGAACTTTATCTTGAAAAAATTTTAAGACGCATGCTCAACAAAACCTCCGCATGTTTAGATGATCAATTTACAAATGGTTGTTTCGCGTGTTACTTGACAGACATTATTTTATCTTCTACTACATATTTTGTGGCCCTATACTACTAAATAAAATTATTTCACAGTACGTATACACATCATTATTAACTGTAATAAAGTTACTTACCAAAATATTAAAATACTATATACAATTTTATATACGATTTCGGTAGAATGTTTCCAAATTCCTAATTGAAATACTAGTGTTTTTACAATATTATTTTCCGTTTTAATAGTACTACATACAATTCATAGGCATTTGTACATGATTCTTCATTTCGTTTGTTATTATTTAAACGGTACGAGTGTAAACGTCGTAAACATTAATTTTGAGGTTATATTACTGTAACGTAAATTTACACATAAACGTATCGTAGTAATCATGTTAATGCATAGTTGATCTTATACCATTTAATTGTACATGTGAGTTTAATGCTTAGACAGATGCCAAGCGTTAAAGATGAATCAGAAGCAGAAGGAGAAGAAATGTCGCACGACAGTAACGAAAGTAATCAAAGCTCTGCCTCGTGTGATAGCAGTGCAGAACATAGCGATAGCGATGATTCTTCGGAAATGGATGAAGATGAATGTGAAAGGCGACGCAATGAATGTATGGAAAACTTAGTTGATTTAGAAAGACAATTTACTCTTCTTAAAGAGCAGTAAGTCATTGGTTTCGTTACAAAGATTTTATTGAAAGTGAGTAGCTATCGAAAAGGAACATACTTTGATATAATAAATGTTTCAGGCTGTACCGTGAAAGAATTACTCAGGTAGATACAAAATTAGGAGAAGTTCGGGTTGGAAAATCTGAAGAATATTTAGTGCCATTGGAACGTTTAAAAGAAAATATGAAAACAAAAACAGAAGTAGCTGGAATACTAAAACAGTATAGATTACAAAATATACAAAACAAATTTCTAGCAGAAGAACAGGCAGCATTACAAAATTTTGAAAGTGAAAAGGAGTTAATCTGGGATTGTATTCATAATGATTTACAAGAAAAGATCCGCAGATTAGAAGAAGACAGAAACAATGTTGATATTCATGCAGATCTGTGGCTAAATTCAACTGGTAGAAGACGTAGAAATCACACTGAAAGGAGAAGAGCTGTTACCGTTGCTGGCCCTTACATCGTTTACATGCTAAATGATGCAGATATCCTCGAGGATTGGGCATTGATAAAGAAAAGCCTAAGCAGCCGGAAAACTGAAATAATTTAATATTAAGCATAAATATCAAAAATTGTCTAATGCAATAGTCTTAATGACGTCAATGTTTTGCTCTTATATAAAAATCAAATGTCTAACCAATCTAAGAGCAATCATTGCACTCATTTTGCAATAATGGCAACTTCTTTACATTTATAATGCTTGTATAGGGTGCCTTTCTATATAACACTTTGATCTCTACAGAACCATTTTGATCTACATTCAAATATGTGTGACCTGTGGGATAATTCCACGATACAATACTTATGCCTTTCAGAAACAATTTATGAACTGATAAATATTAATCACTTGTGAATATAGTTTTAAATTTAGGAATGCAATAGTTATACTTTAATATTAAAGTAACGTAATGTTAATTGTAAAAACTAATTTAAGTAATAGTTGCATACAACATTAACTACATACAGTTTATTTATAAATGATTTTGTAAAATAAGTTTCTCGATAATATCAAAATTACATGTATACTTTCTGAATTTGAAGATCGCAAAAATTTTCAGTACAAAATTTGTTTACGAAATTGCATTTTGAAGACCAATTCTTTTAATTTTCGGCGATGTTATATCATTGTTCATGTACAAATTGTATCATAATAATTAAATATATTACATATTTTTGAATAAACTTTCGACAAAAATAACGTTGTTATTTATAAAAAAAATAATTTGGGTTACGTAAACGTTGATAAAAGTTTATTGATTGTTTTTAAAGAATAATACAATTAAACTCGTATATTAACCTCAAAAATTAATGTATACTTCCTCAGTGCTTCCTTGTTTTCAATAGAAATTTGTATTCCAAGTAAATCTGTTTATTTGCTGAGTTTAACAATCTAATACTGAATGAACAACATTGCAAATTATTTACAATTATTCTTTATTTTCGCGACTGCTTTATAAATTCCCGCTCTCGTAAAGGCACGAGTAGTGCAACATTGAGATAGTCAATTGTAAGGGAATTTGCAATCTGCCAATGACACAGTAAATATCAAAGGTAATGAATGCGCCTTAAATTATTTAATCGTTAGAACATTTGAGCTTATATTCGATTAATAATTTAAAATACTCCTTTGAAATCTTATCAAAATGTTAACAGTTATGATTGAATAATCTTGAAGAGGAAACTAATTTTGGCACTTATGCGATCACACTCGCTGAGAGTTTAGAATCGATAGGAGAGATACGCATTTCGAGGTCAACTGTAGGACAGAAGACAGAACACCATTCTGCTTCGACACTCCAAGTGGACTGTCACGCTTTACGTTAGGTGAGCAAATTTCATTCAAGTTTCGTTCAAGATTTAAAGAATTCTATCCTCAAAAATCAGTTTGTGTTGACGAAGATATCAAGATTCTGTTCAGAAGTTTTTCAGTGTGATTTTCCTCAGAATTACACAAAAAGAATGATCCGAATACCCACCGCGTGCGCTACGTGTCTAAATTTCGCATCAAGGTCATTACACTTGATATTTTGAGCAGATCGCAATCAATTTTAAGAATCCAAGGTCTTGTAAATAAGGGAACAATTTATTTTATTGTATATTCATAGATTTCTTCCAGTGACCTTGACAAGGTCAAGTACTACATTGTTCAAAATCCACAGTCGAATACCGGTATTTTAATTTTCCGACAATTATTTAAATTGTCCAAAGTGGAGAGTAACTTAATATGAATGTTTGAGGTTGAAATGAAAGGTAGAATTCATGATTAGGACTCTTGATTAATTATAACTGTACATTTTGGAAGTTTTAATACACTTGTAGTTTAAATTAAAAAGTATTTGTGTTTTAGATTATTTGTCTCCAAGTATAGTACTGCTAGTTACTGTGAAACAATGCCGATCCAAAGCATTAAGGCACGACAGATCTATGATTCTCGTGGCAACCCGACTGTAGAGGTAAGATTATATGAAATATACTTTCATAAATTGCATCATATAATTGTCACTTACATACATTTTCTATAGGTCGATCTTGTAACAGAAAATGGCCTGTTCAGAGCTGCAGTACCATCCGGTGCTTCAACTGGTGTTCACGAAGCTTTAGAGCTCCGGGACAATGATAAATCAAAGTACCATGGAAAATCTGTGTTCAAAGCTGTAGAAAACATTAATTCTATTATTACACCTGAATTGTTGAAGGTATTTATTCACAAGTATCTGTCACTTTTTTCATAAAGTGAGAACCGCCTTTAAATGTAATATGTTATGTAACAGTCAAACTTGGAAGTTACTCAGCAAACAGACATCGATAATTTCTTGTTGAAACTCGATGGTACACCAAACAAGTCAAAGCTTGGTGCAAATGCACTTTTGGGTGTTTCATTAGCAGTTTGTAAAGCAGGAGCTTCTAAGAAGGGAATGCCATTATATAAGTAAGTAAATAGACTTCCTAATTTAAGTGTATAATATTTTGGTCCAATATGTATAACATTAATTTTGTAAATGATTATCGCAGATATATCGCGGAATTAGCAGGAAATCCGAACATTATTCTACCAGTTCCAGCTTTTAACGTTATTAATGGTGGTTCGCATGCTGGAAACAAATTAGCAATGCAGGAGTTCATGATCCTGCCTACAGGAGCTAGCAATTTTACAGAAGCAATGAAAATGGGTAGCGAGGTCTACCATCATCTCAAGGCTGGTATCAAGAAGAAGTTTGGTCTTGATGCTACCGCAGTTGGTGATGAAGGTGGTTTTGCTCCTAATATTTTGGAAAACAAAGAAGCCTTAATATTAATCATGGATGCTATCAAAGTAAGTGTTACTATTTATGTTTTGAAAAAATATGTGTAATATCGTATTATATCATTATAAAATTTAGGTTGCTGGATATGAAGGAAAAATTAAGATTGGTATGGACGTTGCCGCGTCCGAATTCCACAAGAATGGAAAATACGATTTAGATTTTAAGAATGAGAAATCTGATCCTAGCACATACTTGGAACCAGAAGCTCTGAAAAACTTGTACCTGGACTTCGTTAAAGAATTCCCGATTGTTTCAATTGAAGATCCATTTGACCAAGATGACTGGGCATCATGGTCTTCCATAACAAGTTCCACTCCCATTCAAATTGTGGGTGATGATCTCACTGTCACAAACCCTGAAAGGTAAAATTCGACTAATACACCACGAAACTTTTATTTCACTACAAGCATAAACTATCATGATCTTGTTTGCATTACAGGATCAAAACAGCTATTGAAAAGAAGGCTTGTAACTGCCTATTGCTGAAGGTCAACCAAATAGGTACCGTTACAGAATCAATTAACGCTCACAAACTAGCCAAGAGCGCTGGGTGGGGTACCATGGTTTCCCATCGCTCTGGTGAGACAGAAGACACGTTCATAGCTGATTTAGTCGTTGGACTTGCGACTGGTCAAATTAAAACTGGCGCGCCTTGTCGTTCAGAACGGTTGGCCAAGTACAACCAGATTCTTCGTATCGAAGAGGAATTAGGCGCGGCTGCCAAATTCGCAGGCGAAAAATTCCGTAATCCCCAAGCTTAAAACATTTTACCTTTTTATTTTATTAACGTGATGCTCTAGTTAACATGTATTCTGCAACACAAAGGTAACCTATACTTCCATGACTGCTGACATCGTGTCGATGGAATAGAGTTGAATGATGTTGTAATCGTAGAGTAATGAGTTTTGGAAATTCTTATATTATAAGAATAGATTCAAATACAAAATGTAAGAATAGTGTCACAACTAAAAATATCATCGAAGTTTCAATGTACACCAGTTTATTCTGTTTCGAATAATAATTAAATGGATTTATCTATTATTATAGAATATCACTACGGTTAGCATAATATAGGCAGTTCACCGGTGCATTTAAGAAAATGTCGATAATCAAGGTATATGAATGTATGTAGTATTTATTTATTATCCCTAATTTCTTTACTCATATGTATCATGAATGTTTGGATCCTGTTCAACACTCTGAAAAATTAGGTCAGGTTTCGCAATTCAATGTACAAAAGAATGACAATGCCTGGTGTCTGCCACTTTAGAAGCACAAATCATTAATCGTAAATAAACGTTATGATGATTGTTAAATGTTACATGTATGAATATCATACATAGTAATAAAAACAGTATTTAAATATAAATTACACCCATCCCCGAGATAGACGTTTGTTGAAATAAATCCATATAAAGTTTACATAAGTTTTTTTTGTTAAGAGCATACATGTAAATGTATAAATAAAATTCTATGCTGCTATACGTTAATGCAATTCTCAATTTTATATAATAAACCAAGTTCGAGATTATGCTATTTTAATTTCAACATGAAAATAGTTCAAACTTTGCAATTTGCGCCATTGTTCCTCCAATTCAAAGCTGGCGTACTCAACAGGTATTTTTCAGAAACTAATCTCGGAAACAAATAGCAAACAATTTAGGATAAAAGGTATATATTTGAATTTAGCGCCATTTTTATTCAAATTAATAGCTATCTAGTGGTGAATAAGGCGAACTAATTTTCGGAGTTTGGTCAGCGCCTCTATCGGGAAAACGCCCAAGTGTGTCCTTAATAGTTCCTATTTTCACGTCTAGATAGCGCCATTTACACTGTTTTTTTTCACCGACAATTAATGTCAGTAATTACCATCTAAAAGCGCCATCCAGCGGTGAAAAAAGGAACTATTGAAGACAAACTTGAGCGTTTTCTCGAAAGAAACGCTGACCATACTCCAAAAATTAGTTCGGCCATTTTACCGCTAGATGGCGTCCATTAAACGCGCGAAATTCAAATTATTTATGTGAACATCCAAAAGTAATTTCTTTTAACATTTATCAGATACTTATTAAATAACTATGGGTACGATTAATCGTGTAATAGGTGGTTACTAAGTCGAATGAATTAATTTGAATATTTTTGTATATAATTTATATCATATAACGGAAGAATGAAGTCTCGATTTAAACTGTGTCTTTAATGAAGACTCTATCGACCGAAGAAATCGGGACGAAATGACTGATGACGTTACCGTCACATAAAATGAGTGACACGGATTGTAGAATGACTCCCAGCCCATAAACAAATTCATATTTAAAGTAATCTGTAATTCAAATGAATCATTGGTTCGAAAGCAGTAGGAACAAATTTTCCTGTAAATTACAATCGACCATACGCCCCTTTTTAAATTATCAACGACAGCTCCAGATAAGAGGGCCTTTTCTGATAATGTAAAATTAGCCACCGCGTGTTGAATGCTGCATGATTTAAGCGAATTAACATTTATTGACCGATTATATGCAGAAATACGAAATATCTGTGAAAGTATTACGGTAGTAGAATTATTGCTTATGTTCTTGGTGATATTGCGTTGATAATGCTTCAACATTTTGCTTTGGTTCACTTTTCATCCCTTGTCGCTTATTTTATCGATCAGGCTTCGTCTTGTTCATACTAAAGCGCGTTTAACAAAAACTTAGGGGAACTTATATCAGGGGGTAGTCACTTCCTATAAATTTTTGAACGAGGAGACTTGCTTTTATACCGCGCGTACGGAGTCCAGATCAATATCGACTATGCGAGCACATAAAAGAAGATAGTCGGTTTGATAAATCGCACGGTGTTGTAAACCATCGATTCTCGAGCTTATCGTACAGTTGCAACTAATTCGTAACAAAATTAATACCATCTATTTCTTCGTATTTATTTATTTTACATGTTTTATTTCTTACAATACTTGTTAAATTTTGCGTTAGTAAAATGCTCAAATACCATGGAATAAATGAATATAATTGCATGCAGCGTTTGGTAAATGAAATAAAAAGGTTTATTGCAAAAGCAAATGGACGAACCAGTAATCCTCGAAACACGTGGCTTAGAATCGAATCGCAGAACCGACACAACAAGATATCACGAATGTTTTCGACGAAAATCCCAAGGGATCGAAGCAAATGTATTCATTCGCAACAGAACCCATCGAAGTTGGAACAAAATCGACCGAGTAAAGTATTACTTTCCAACGTCGACGAGAGTTTCCAACTCTGGAGAATTGGGTGTGTAAGATTTATGAAGATACTCCTTTTTGAATAAAGATTTCACGCGAGAACGTTCAAACTTTGTAATTTTTTTACTGAAACTGATCGTATTAATGTAATTCACGGATTAATTTATCAATCGAACTCTCTCTCTCGAGAGAGTCCTTTTGAACCTGACCCTCAAAATGACCGCTCGAGAATATTCGAAACAATAGATCCACTTCGCGTCAATTTTAAACACAGCAGACTCTTCCTTGACATCAATTTTCTATCACCTTCGCTGATTTCACCGTTGCACCATCTACATTGTCTCGACGAATAATGACACAGTTTCAAGTCACTCCAATTTATCGATGTGATTCGTCATTCTCCTGCACTACATGCGAACTAAAGAAAAAAGAAAACGTTAAACAGATATTGTTTTATCGAAATTTGTTTAAATTCTATACATTATTTTATGAAGTTCAGCGACACCTGAAAAATGGAAAATCATTATTTCATGCATACATTTTTGCACGAAATTCCGCAAATTTTTGATACGATTAAAAACAAGTTTCTTCGAATGTTCCACTCGGAAATGGAACAAAGGCGCGTTACCTTTGTACGTGCTGTAATCTTTGATTAAAATCTGCGGAACAGGGCTACAATAGAATTGACGTGGATATTTCATATTTGCAAATACCAGCGTGACACCGTGAAAGCGTGAAATGTAGTGCAAAGTGCAATAATGCAAGGTTACATAAACCTAGCTACGTTGTAATAAAAAAAAGTATTATACAAGTAACAAACGAAAAATCGATTAATAAATAAAACTTGCATGCCCATTTAAATTTCGATATATTTACAATTCAACGTTTTTCGTTCTTTCCATCCAATTTATAGCAACGCCGACCAACGAAACACGCGAGTATTATGAAATTCACCGTTAATTTAAGTTTATCTTATCTCTAGGAAAATATAGTTTCCTAAGGTCATTCCATGGACTGGGTAAAAAAAAAAAAAAAATGTTAAATAGTTGAAAAATATTTAATTTGTTTTTGAAACAATAGAGACACCTTTCGGAATTGATCTTTTTTGTTCCACGGTGAAAAGTCGCCGACGCGTGGATGACGTGGCGTTCAACGCGTTAATATTCAGTTTTCCTGTAACGTTGTAACACCGAGGCTGGTATCGAACATTTTTACGTCAAACTCCACGAAATCTCGATCTCTCGTAATCGTCCGAGCAACGTGTTTCTCGGTTCGTCGAGCATTCACAAATTCACAGAAACAAAAATCCTTGCATTCCTGCGATTAATTATCGACCATCAGTCGCGTCGATTTATACGTACGTGTATTTTAAAAATGTTAAAATAAACGTATCAGCGAACGAAGGAAATTTCGAATGTCACGCAACGGTTTTCGCGCGAGAGGCAACTTTTTTTTAAATACAAACTGGCGTCGAGGAACAATTAAATTGCAGGCACGACACGATAACGTGTAGTTAGGAAACATTTTCGAGTGACAATTGTAACCGTGTACAGCACACAAATGCGAGACAAAGTTCAGTTTTGTATACTCCGTCGAAAAATACCAACACGGACAATTTTTTTCGTTTCCTGATTTATGAATAAATCGAGTTTCGTATAATTTCGAGTACTATCCAAAATTGGCTACAGTTGAGTACATAAAGTACTTTGAGTGCAAAGGGTTAACATCGCTGTCAGAGGCTTGTGATCGACAAGGGGTACTCACCGCGCATACGTGGACGCCGTAGCCACGCAAGAATCCGCGGGCACTGATTGGTAGACGCCAAGACCGCACGTTTGTGTGAAGCCGTTCGCCTCTTCAGTCTCGCGGTGAGCGTCGTGCAGCGCGTATCGATATGTTTTCGACAGTGGTTTGATCGTGCTACGTAGTCCTCGAGTGACTGAAATTTTCCGCGGACTCGAAAATTACCTGTCGAGTGCGCGTGACAGCCGAGACGTAAGTGACGCTTCCTACAGAAAAGAATAGAATCCGCGATATCAATTTATTCCCACCCAGTGTTAACGAACATTCGACGATCGATTCCCCGTTTTTGACAGAGCCAACAGTCAGTTCGAGCCGACATGTCGTTCGACAAAGAAAACGAACGTTGTTTATACTCGGTCAATGCCAATGATTCGTTTACGTCTAACAGAGTTTCATTTACCAACGGTTCGCGATTGACCATGGATTTCAATTTTTACTTACCTTTACGTTTGTTCCCGCCTTTCGGAGAGAGTTTTCAACTTCAGAGGGAAAGAAGAAACGATCAGTCTGCTGAACGAGAGTGGTTAAAGGAAATTTAACGTTAAAGTACTGTTTGGAGCGAGGAAAAGTTATCGGAGGGAGCGTTTGTCGTAACTCCTTTGTTTTCACGGTATCGTTTTTTTTGGTGCAAAAACGATTTGCATTGTTATTGCAATATCAGCGGTGTGGTTTTTTTTTCCAAGATTACTTTCTATGCTTGGCACATTACTCGTAATCGTATCCAGTCTGGCTTTTCTCTCTGCGGTCTCGTTAAATTGGAAATTCACTTTTTTTTTTTTTTTTGGAAGTACCCAGGGGAAAACGCTATTTTCGCAAAACATTATCGTCGAAACGTACGTCGTTAAGTAACAGCAATTATTTTCAGTTCTATTGTTTAGCTAATGCCCCACTTGAAGATAAAATAAAATTCAGCGGTGACTCACAAAGTTAAGTACACACGTACTTCAACGATGTACGAAGAAGATAAATTTCGATTTAAATGAGCCTAACGTAGTCTCTTGATTGAATTAAGTAAATATTGTTCATCGCTTCGAAGAGCATCGAGTCGTCTTTTCTTTCCAGAAGAAATTGTTGGCGCTGGTAACGTCGTTAGAACGAGACTCCTTCCCTCCACGAGGAGTTGTTAGTTTGAAATTCAACGCTTGGTTACTCGGACGAGTAGGATTGACAATCAGTCGTGCAATTTCGTTCAATTCATTCCGTCGGCTGCGAGTAACTTCTCCAATAATTAACCTCTTTATTTGTCGAGCTTCTCTGTACATCTTCTTTCTAACGACTCGCGATGAATTTATGAAACAGATCGAAACAGAAAAATTCACGGATAACGGTGCAGTCGTAGGGCTTAAGATGGATAAAATTTCATTCGATCGACAGATCATTTGCTCACTGCGAAATAACACGTTTATCGGACGTATCGCGAACAAATCTTCGAAAACCGATAAACAAGCACGACTAATCGAGACACACCTGCGTGTATTCGGCAATTATCGAATACAACTAATTCTTTCAATAGAGGATCATTCGTAATTGGTTTATTAGGGGTAAACATATCTAACGATCCACAACGAACGATCAATTATTGTTCGCCAATCGCTCCACCCACTGCAACGCGTCTGTTTCCAAACGCCCAGCTCTTGTTTCCATAAACTTGATTACCGTCGTCGCGAAATTAATCCGCGTTGCAACGCATCAAAACTGCGAGATCCGCCTCGAGTACTGGAGCGATGCACACTGGAACCGAGTAACAGAATTCGAGACAAAAATCGAGATCCATCTGCAGATGTCAAAGAGTTAGAATTTATTTACAGTAATAAAGGAAACGTAGGGTTACTAGAACGAACTGTTTCGGGGTAACACGCCTGGTGTATCGTACTACGTTCCCCTCTATAGTTCACGCTCCGATCCGAGTCCTCCCCCTGTAAGGTGTAGACTCTTTCTGAATAGGCCGCTAGTTAAAGCGTTAGGATACCCTCTCTGTGAACGCACAAAAAAAAGCATATTTTCAATAATTTTGTTCTCAGCAACTATTGCATAAAATTGAATGAATGTCTTCTCCCCTTGGAGGTATGATTAACGAAAGTAAATAAAAAATTTTCTTTTTGGTAAAAAATATTTCGTCATTTATTTACGAAATAATACGCATGTGCGCAAAAGAAGAAAGTTATCCGTTGGCGCAGGTGATTTTGGCTCTCCTGGTAATCTGAAACAGAAAATCGAAAAAATTGATTAAACTATGTCGTCACGCCTATCGTCGGAACCTCCAAGTAGTTGATATTTTGATGTTTATTTACAATTTCACCCGATTTACGGTACAAAAAAAAAAGTGTTTTCTTTCTCTCTTTCACAAGAAACGCTGGCATTTCGTTCATTTTCGATGAAATAAATAAGTGGAGGTTCCGACTCTTTAACCAGTGATAGGCAAAACCCTAGGCTTCGAATAAATCTGAGGTTTGCTGATATGTTCGTCTCGTTTCCTCTTTCGAACGTTTCCCAAAGAAGGAAACGAGACACAAACACATCGGCAAACTTCAGATTTATTCGAAGACTAGGGTTTCGCCCATCTCTGGTGTTAACACGTTGATTGCCAGACTAGCACCAACGAGAATGCGTCTCCTTAGTATAATTATAATTTTTTGACTTAACAATTGGTAGCTAAATAATCGCATCTAGACTTTTTTTTTTTGTTTGTTTGTTTAACGTTTCGTCCTCGCGTGACGTATTTCGTGGATCTTTAAACTTCAGACCCCCGTCACTCACGTACGAATGACGTGGCGATCAACGTGTTAAAGGGGCGGATATTTCGTAGATCGCGGCGGACATCAGGAAGAGACATAACTCCAACGCGAGTGTCGGGAGAACGCGTCGTCATGGGCAACCTGTATTGTGGCCCGCGGGTGTAGTGCCAACGCGTAATCGAGGGGGAGAGAAAGAGGGAGAGAGTGAAAGAGACAGAGACAGACCAGACACAAAAAGAGCGAGAGAAAGAGAGAGGGAGAGAGAAGGGACGAGAGTAGAAGGAAAAGAGAACGAGCGAAGGGGGAGAGAAAAATAAAGGAAGACAGAACGTGGACAAGCGTGACCAGCAAGCTTCGAAAGGCTACTCTCTCGCGGCCAGGAGGAAGAGGGACGAGTGGAAGCGGGACGGAGAGGATAATGCGGACTCTTTGCTTCCGCCTTGATCAACAGGACGTTCGGATCTACTCGTAGTAAGTAGAGAAACTGTATCTTTTGCGATAACGCGCAAGACGAAACGAAAAGCTACTGTATACCTTATTATTATTATTATTGTATACCTGTCGACGTGACAGCAACGATTCCAAGAGTCTTTAAAACGGAGCAGAGGGTGGTATTGTCGGTCCTCGGTTATCGTAGTTGCACAGAGGCGAGACGGGTTCCTTGGCGTCGGTATGAAGGGTTAAAAATAAGACGTGGAAACTGCGAGGGCGATCGACCGCGAAACTTAACCGCGAGTATCCCTCGAAGAAAGAAAACTGGATGGCCGTGTAAGCGGTCCCGACTTTTTCAAGGATCGGTTTCAGCAGGGTCTAGTCTCTCTAGTCGGTCAATAGAAAGTATAATACGGGTCGTGACAAGTCCTATAAACCGTTATAACTCGAGTTGTTCATTCGGGCACCTACTTACGTCTCTTTCGCGATCGATGAGGATTATTAAAGTATATTGCACGCCGCGTAGTTCTGAAACCCGTTCACTTTTCGGTTGGAAACAACAATAATCTTCGTCTATTAGAGTACTTCGCGAAAGAGTGAAACGATAATGGCGTGGCTCGCCATATCTCCATGCGGAATTGATCAATTTCGTTGGACTTGAACGGGGTACGAAAGGGAAAACAAATCGGAAAGAGGAAATTGAGTTGTATAATAGTACATCGAGCTTAACTTAAATAACGTTGAGTAGGTGAATCGTGTACAGCACGCAGGAAAATTATGTTGGGCTAGTAGTTCGAATTTAATCGAAGCAACGCTATCGAAAACAATTGTCGTTTCGTTGAACCGCATAGAATGCGATATTTTACACGGGGATGAGCTGAAAGCAAATTGGACTTGTTTGAAATAATTCTTGTCAACGTCGAGCCAATTAAGTAACGAGCGCCGACTTCGACTAATTTCGAATGTTCAGACTCGCAGAGTCACGAAAAAGCCAAAAGTAACCGGAGTTCGGTGAGTCTTATTACTGAAATACCGCAGGAAGAAAATCGTCAAATTAGCGTAATTGGATTTGGCGTGGTTCTGCTTTGAATGGTTCGTTAGGAAAATGCGGGAGAGATTTTATCAACGTAGCAATTTTCCATCGCGAAGCATGACTACTGTTGACTATTACTCGACAAAAAATTATATAAAAATCTTCTCCGTGTTTTTTTAGCAACCACGTCGCGTCGCGCGTGGAAATTTATTTAATCCTAATCGATGCATGGAGAACAACGGCGAATTTTAGCGACCTCTTAATTTCGACGAAACGAAACTTCCGCGAATCCTTAGGATACCGCTGAAAACTTAGAGCGACAAAGCTCATTACATAATGTTAATCTGGAAGTGGATTAGTTTAATGGAGTCAGGGGCGCACCGGAAAACATGGATTTATAATTATGATATGGACATTTCTACGTTTCGTTGTTTTGCCTTGGATCAGACATTATAAAAGTTTTTAGTAAACACAAAATACTATGCCTGTATGTATAGTTACGAATCGGTGAGTTGATTTAACAAGATTTCTATGTTAATTCTCACGTGTCGGATTCTGCTTCTCGTATTCGTTGACCGGTTCCAAAACTTACGGTATGTATGCGTACCTGTACGTAGGAAGAAAGTTAAATATATGCAGTTACACACGGAGAGTACCGTTTTAATCTTCGCTGATAAATATCTTCGCCGTGCTCAACGAATTCGAGATTTGGACCGACAAACAGCGTGGATCCTTTTTCCTTCTTTTAAAACGTCCTAGCATTTCAATAATTTACGCTTTATTTCAGTTGATACCCAAGTAACTTTAATCTCGTTCGAATCGGTGATCATTTAAACTTGTGAAAATCTTGAACGAGCCGAGTACTGTTATTATTCTAATAGCATGTAATACGCTAAACAATAAGACGTTCCTCAACCGAGGTTTTTCAGCCTAACAATTTTTCTCACAGCGCAATTCAAGTTCCGGGAACATAATAAGAAATTAGGAAAATTATTCTCTGAATTGTACGCTGTTTTGTTCAGCCGCTCTTATGATTCCACAATAAGGATGCCCTTTTCAGGACTAAATTAAGTCACGGACTTCAAAGGCTACAGCTTAGAGTCCTCCGCCAAGTGAAGGGATTCCAGAGGGTTATTTGAGGCAATTTATTTAAATTTTATTATACATTTTTCGCATTCGCGGACAAAGCAAACGTTTGAAAATATTATTGAAGGCCTTGCAGTAGCGCAGGGATTTACGATATCTTAATTCGGCCCTGGTCCCTTCCCTTTCATTCTTTCTCGTACCCAGTACCTTAAGCTGGTACGTGTTTCCGTCGTATTTTCTTCTGGCATACCTTCGCGTACACACGTTCCCACGTCACGCGTGACACCTCTCGATGACCTACGCAATACGCGACCCGCGCCATTATAATTTTTCATTTCTGATCCCATAAGTCATTCGGTTCTCCCTAGTCGAATCGCAACGATAAACAACAACCTGCATGCCACGAACTTTCTGGACAACCCAATACTTTTATTCGATCTCGTCGTTGATCGATAAAAAAAAAAAAAAAAAAAAAAAAATGTCAAGAAGGCATCGACTGCATTAAAGATCACTACGGGATCGTTGACTCGTATCTCCCTTTGCCATGTCATTTCAATAAGTAGCACGATTCTTGCAGACAAAGAGCAACGAGCAGTGCAACTTGTGCAACAGCATTAAATGTCAGGTCAAGAGACTGGCTCCGTTGGCCGGATTACGGTTTCAGCTTGTGCACGTATACCGTATTTCACTGTAAACGCTTTGGCGCACCTACGTCTCCGCCATTCCCTGCCCTTGGATTACCGTTGCTCGTGCGAGGAGCTGTACGATATGAATGAAACTTAACGGCAGAGTTTAGCAAATTTTATTCCGAATAAAGAATAAGAGTCCCAAATTTATTCGTGAGAGTTAACGCGAATGCATTCTTCAGTCATTCACCCTGCAGCGAGCGACGTCGCGCTGTACATGGGAGGGCAGCGTTTGTTCTTATTCCCGCGACAATGAAAAACATGTACCGCGTAGAATTTCGTTTGGAGTATCATTAGTTTAAAATACACGCCAGTCACGCTAAGTATACGTCACTGGGGCTAATAATCGTGTAACGAATCATTGAGCTGGAAGGTTTCATGTTTAATTCATCGAAACGTTTCCATGTTAAGCATTTCCAAGCTTCGACTAAATTCCAATAGACGATGGATGCGAAATTTCACGTAGACGCGATGTTCCAGCTATGCAATCCCGAGGAGACTGCGCTCCGTTTACGATTCGCGTTGCATTTACTCCATAATGGCGCACAACAAACATTTACTATCGGCGCACCCAGCTCTGACATTTTCCTATGGAATCGTCTCTGCGCATTACCTAACGTATCCTTATTGTTTCCCAGGATCGAAGATTCCGCTGCATAGGGTGTTCGTACAATTATGCAATTCTTCGTGCAATTGCACGTTTGCGGGCTTAGCACACGTGGCGACGCTCGCGAATAAATTACCATTAAGAAACGCCGCGATGTTAGCGAATAATGAAGCAACGTTGAGAGAGAATTTTCGTGTAATTCGCTGTGCGACGAATGTTATTTTAAAATTTGATAACGAAAAAAGATACCGCATGGAAAGTAGGGCCACGGAAGACTTTTGATATAGACAAACAACTAGATAGACGAATAAATATTTGTTTATTCGCTATGTCGTGGTACGTGTGCGGTATTTGCAAAGTATTCGCAAAGCAATATGCAGATAATGCAGTCGACAGTCGTGCGGTTGTGCGTATGCGCTGATAAAACAGTTTTACATCAATAATTATTTACATAACTGATACAAATTATTGCAGCGTACACAAGCATAGTTCGCAGTAACGAACAAAAATTGCTTTCCTCGAATGCAATAATTGCCGAGTTCCTCTTCCTTGTGATTCTATGTGCTTCCCCATTCAAAATTGGAGCAGTTCGGTGAAATGATTTCTCCGTTCTTGAGCTAGTCGACACGGGTTTGGAAAGTGGCAAACGTTTTCTCGATAATCGCCGAGACCTCGACTCATCGGTGCTTCGAGGTTTAATGAGATTTAACAGCAGCCAAGGTGCAAACGTCACGACGGCCGCGATGATAAGATAAGGCCAGTAAAACAGTTTAAGTCGCACGTCAGCGGTGATTCGATTCTCCGTCGATGCGAATTTTGCATGGAAATACGAAGCGAGTCGAGGAGAAGTATTTTTTTTTCACCTAATCTCAAAGAGTAGAGATACGCGTGTTAGTAAACAATTAAAATATTTTATATCGAAATTAGTTCGTTATTACTTCGTTCGAATTGTCTTTTTCAATCTCACTAGCTCGCGACAATAGCACTCTGCTAAGCGAGACGTTGAAGATGATTTCGTAATTCTCTAGCTAGCCAGTGCCAATGATGTACATAGATGGTAAACGGCTCTCCAATTGAACTCTCGCTTTGTGTTTCGGTCATGTTCCATGGCACATATTACGTGTCGACATCGTATGCACGTATTAAGGAGAAATCGGAAGCGTCTATTTTCGATCGCGCGTCGAGCACGTCCGGCAATTCTCTGCGTTAGAAACGTACGTACGATTCGAAAAGATTCCATTGCGATCCATCAGACGTACCTAGGGGCCTTTAACTCGTTTCTCGTTGTCACTCTCGGTCGAGCGAATTCGAGTGGCCCCTTATCTCGGCCAACGCATTACCGATAATGCCACTGAATAATAGTAATCGATCCTTATCTGACCGATTAATCGGGCCGAGATAATTACGAAATCGATTCGAACCTATCAGTTACGCGCCATAGTCTCCTGGAACAGGTATTTATCTTGGCCAGTAATTGGCAATATTCTTATCTAGATAAATGGAGACGAACGATAAAGTGAAATTATTAAATGTTCAAATAGAACATTTATCGGGGATAATCTGAAATAAATTTCCACCCCTGTTTAGTATTTGACAAGTGAAATCGTGGCTTTAGGTGTCTCACAAT